TTGCCCCCCCCCCTTTTGTCCTTACCATCTTTTCCCTTCCTTTTCATTTTCATTTTCATTTCATTTCTTTGGTTGGGTTGGCAGACCCATTTGTGCCTCTCTCTCCCTCCCCTCCCTCCCTCCCTTTCTCTTTTCTCCATTTTTGCTTAAGCTTCAAGTTTAAAGTGTGAGTTTTAAAGTGAGATTTTCAAAAGTGTTGTAAATGAAAGTCGAGAGAGCTCGTCGTAATCTTCATAATGGTGGTCTCGGATCCATGATCGGGCGATGTTTGCATTTTTTGGATTTGCTTTTCTTCATATTTGAGGTAGGGACTTTCTTCATATTATTACTTTTAAAGCTATGTTAGGGTTATTTTGAGAAAATATGTCATTTTAAGAGGTATTGCATATATATATATATATATTTTCAGATTTTTGTTTGGTATTTTTGAAAGAAAAAATATATTTAAATGTTAAGAATATTGGCATTTTGAGATTGATTTGGGAGAATCATTTTGTGTTGATAATTTTGTAAAAAAATTCAAAATAAAATAAAAAGTTGTATGGGTTGTGTCTACATCATATTATGATTAGAAAATTTAACTTGAAAAATATAAAGTTGAAATATTTGTTTTTCGTCTTTGATTTGGAATTTATTTTTGAGAAAAATAAATTAATGTTGATGAATATTGAGTAAATGCTTAAGTTGGAATTATAGAGTTGTTTTTGGATTAAAAACTCTAAAAGTGTTACATTCATATATTTTATGAAAGATGATATATTGATGATTTAGTTGTGTTCATTTTTGTGAAATAAAAATTTGAAATGTGGATTTTCGAACTCATAATCTTGAAAATGTTACTCTTGGGTATATTTTATAATTTTTGATGTAAATTTCATGTTGGTTAGGTAATTTTAGAAAAATTGTGAAAATGTTATTGGTAGAGAATTTGGGAAAAATATTACCTCTTTAAGTTGGCATGAAAAATGGTTATGTTGAAATATGGTTATGTTTGAGGGATGAGGCAGATAAGGTTAAGTTAGTGTTATCAATTTGGAAGATGGTGAATATAATGAACTTACTAATTTGATGAATTAAATTATTTTAGTTATATTTTTAAATCCTTCGTAATTAAAGGGGTGTTATTGGGTTTTAATTCTAACTTTAATATTATGAGATTAAAAGTGACGAAGTTGACCAAGTATGAAATTTGGAGAAATAAGCGAGATTAAGTTGATGTGGTATGTATTGGGTTCCTAGTTTTACTAGTAGAGTAATGTTATAATAATAATTTCATATTTCAAATTTTTTATGAGATATTTGAATTTTCGTGTGTTGGTAACGTTTACGTTTTCAATTTATATTTACAAAAATTATAAACTGATTTTTGTTTATTTTTTGTTTATTTTTAGGAAAACATAAACTACAACGCGTTTGGTAATTGACAAAATGTTTAAAAATTTTAAAAATATAAAAAAGAGTAAGAAATGACAAGTGGCGGCAAGTGGCGATAGAATACAATGGTGGAAAATGGTGACGGTGGGTGGTGGGTAGCTGGTGGTGGTGGGTGGGTGGTGGGTGACGGTGGCGGGTGGTAGTGAGTGGGAGGTGGTGGCGGCGGGTGGTGGGTGGCGGATAGCGGGTGGTGGTGTGGGGCGGGTAGGTGTGGTGGTGGTGGTGGTGGGTGGGGTGACGGTGGCGGGTGGTAGGTGGTAGCGAGTAGGTGGTGGTGGTGGTGGCGGATGGCGGGTGGTAGTGGGTGGTGCGGGTGGGTGGTGATGTGGGTGGGTAGGTGGGGTGTGTGGCGGCGGCGGGTGGTGGGTGGCGGATGGCGGGTGGTGGTGGGTGGCGGGTTGGTGGTGGGTGATGGATGGTGAGTGGCCGATGGCGGGTGGTGGTGGATGGCGGGTAGATGGCGGGTGGGTGGTGGGCGGCGCGGGTGGTGGTGGCGGGTGGCGGGTAGTGGTGGTGGGTGGGTGGTAGTGGCCGATGACGGGTGGTGGTGGATGGCAGGTAGGTGCGGGGTGGTGTGGGGGTGGGTGTGGTGGTGGGGGGTGACGGTAGCGGGTGGTGGTGGTAGCGAGTGGGTGGGCGGTGGCGGGTGGGTGGCAGATGGCGGGTGGTAGTGGGTGGTGGTGGTGGGTGGGTGACGTGGCGAGTGATGGGTGGTAATGAGTGGGTGGTGGTGTGGGCGGTGCGGCGGTGGTGGTAGCAAGTGGGTGGCGGATAGCGGGTAGGTGACGGTGTGGTGGTGGGTGGTGGGTGGGTGACGGTGGCGGGTGGTAGGTGTAGCGAGTGGGTGGTGGTGGCGGGTGGTGGTGGTGGTGCGTGGGTGGGTGACGGTGGCCGGTGGTAAGTGGTAGCAAGTGGGTGGTGGTGGCAGGTGGTGACGGGTGAGTGGTGGGTGATGGTGGTGGTGGTGGTGGTGGCGGCGGGTGGTGGCAGGTGGCTGGTGGTGGTAGGTGGCTAGTGGTGAAGGGTGGGGCAGTGTGGCGGTGAGTGGTGGTGGCAAGTAAGTGGCGGGTGTGGTGGTAGGCGGTGAATGGTAGTGGCAGGTGGTGGTGGGGGTGGCGGGTGGATGACAGGTGGGTGGTGGTGGTGGTGGTGACGGCGAGGGGTGGGTGGTGGTGGCGAGTGGTGGCAGGTGGGTGGTGGTGGCGGGGTGGGTTGGTGGTAGCAGGTGGGTGGTGAGTGGTGGTGGCAGGTGGTGGTGGAGGTGGGTGGTGGTGGCGGAAGATGGTGGTGGAAAATGGTGGCGGGTGGTGGCTAATGTTGGGTGATAAAAAAAAAACTGAAAACTCAAAATGGAAACACATTTTTTGTGTTTTCATTTTTTGGCTAAATTTATAAACTGAGACCACTGATTTATAAATCAAAAATTTTACCAAACAGGTTTTTATTTGAGTTTTTTAAATTTTTGTAAATATAAACAGAAAACTGAAAACGTAAGTGTTACCAAACGGCACCTGTGGTTTTTGACAAGAAAATAATAGAATGTGATTTTTAGCTCGCTTGGAGCAAATGGATGAATTGGATTAAAACAAAAATGAGTTATCAAAAATTTTATTTATTTATTATTTTTATTTGGTTTAATTCGATGGGGTGGATGTTGATAATTGGAAAGTGAACACTCGTGTTATATTTTATAATTATAGTCAAGAGAACATTTTGATATAATTGATTAAGTGTTAGAATATTCACATATGTTTATTGAGAATTATGATTGAACTTGAAGATCCCGATATTTCACTTGCATGAGAAAATGAGAATTTGATCTATTTAATGTTTGGGATGGAGATGAGTTTTAGAAAGATTATAATTACAATTTATTGATAAAGTATGTGAGTTAGAAATAGATGAAACCTTGAACTCGCTTTGGTGTTATATGTTATTGCTATTAATGAACCTATTGTTTAAAAGTTTTGGTTTTGGTAACCAGAAGATGATTACCATGTTGGTATTTAAATGAGGAGATCCTTGGAAAGGTAAAAAAATGTTTGATTTTGGAAGTTTGTTGTGTATAAAGAATATTGTTGAATTGTCTTGAAAAGAATATTGTTGAATTGTCTTGAAAAGACTAAGTGGGAAGTTGTTGATTTACATATAGTAAATACATGAATATTGACATTATTATATTATCTCTTGGGATTGTATCATGGTATTACATTGATAGAGATATGGAAATTGATCACAATGGAGCATTGTGTGGTGGAATTGAAATTGGAACTATTCTAATGCATTGTTACACATTGCATTGCCAATCCATTTCATTGTTATCGTAGATTTCGAATTGCAATTGGAAACTATTGTTTTGAGAAATGAATTATTTTTGGTAAAACAAGATCATTTTGATTTGTTTTGGGTAAATACGTTGGTAAGTCCAGATAGGGGGTGTAATTTGATGTTGGTTAAGTTGGCTTGAGTGTCCAGGGTGAAAGACCGAAAACACACGCGGAGGAGGTACCACTGCCCTTCCGATGAGAGACTGGTAAAGTGGAGATTTGGTAGTGCTCAATATGCCTACTTGCAGACACCTAGGGATTACCTGAATTGTATTTACCATCTTTGAATTATATTGAAATTGTTGGATTAATGTGTTTTCAAATTGGCATTGTGCATAAAGTTTTCAAAAGATGAGAAAAATATTTTGAACATGACATGGCACATGCATTCATCTCATAAGACCGTATAAAATGTATTTGATGCTTTGTTAAATGTCATTATGAATTGCTCAATTATTTGATTCAATTGACAAATGGGTAATTGAATGAATTGAAAAGGATGTCATGTTGCATTTAAGGCATGCTTATTTATTTAAGTTAATTAGTTGTGGTTAATTAAATAAATTGGATTTAAGAGATTATGTAATAGAATCATATAGTTTTGACATGATATGATTTCACGTATATGTATGAGTATCTTTGTACCAACATATCTTCTAATGTTATAATACGAGATTGTTTGGTGAACTAGTGGTTACTCACCCCCTACCTGTACATGTGTACATAGAATGCTTTTTGGATTTGAAAGGGTTTTACCATTTCATATGTATAATGTAGTGATGAATTGTACTACTTCATTTGTTTGTTTGGCTGAGTGCTATCTTTTTGTAAAGAGTAGTGTCCTCTTTTTTTATTGTAAGCCTCAGGGCATTTATGTTATTCGTATGTAAATGTCATTGTTGTATCACGAGAGGGAACATATATATTTAATTATTCATCATTTCATCAAAGGATGAATTGACATTTGTAAGTGGACTTAATTAATGAATATTGGTAATGTTATCCGAGTAATAAAATACGGGGCGTGACATATATCAATGTCAAAAATTAGTATTCAAAGAAAAAAGTATCTTTCCAGATTGGGATTATGCAGTGTTTGATTTTATTTTTTTATGCTTGCAGGGGCCTCTAGTGACGGGTTCTGTTTAGTACTTCCATTTTTATCGAAATTTCCCATCCCATCAGACATTAATGCTCATGATTCTAAGATTCAGAATGAGTGAGTTCACATCTCATACAACTTTGCTAAATCTGCTTATCCTCTAAACATACTTATATAAGCATTTATATGTTCATGATGAGAAAGTGAAAATGACGTATTGCATGCTTTGTACAAAAGAAATAAAAATAAATGCACTCTTAGTTTGGATTGTAAATTTTAAATTCTTTTATGTGATGCAAACCAATGAATGATTTTTTAATTTGCAACATCCATTATATTAAAGGTCAGGCTTGATTTGATATAGACTTAGAAGGTCTCATAATTTATTACAATACTGTGATGCTAGTAATGTATTTTAGGATTTTGAGTAGCATATATGAAATTGTTTTTTATGCTCTTTTTATTTTTATTTTTCATTTTTTAAAATGTTGTAGGTTGTATTGGAGAAAATCAGAGCATACGGCATCTCAGTGACTAGCCTTTTATTGCCTCTTTGTAACGTATTTTTTTATGGCAATTTTTTTAATTTTTTTTATTGAACTTCTAATGGATTGCATTTTGAAGGCATTTGACAGTATCTATGTTAAACTTTTCTAATATGGATTGTGTTATGGATTTAGACTTGTTGATATGATGAACTTAAAATTGAGACTACAAATGGCTTATGGCTTTTAATGAAAATGAAAATATAGTAAGAAATATAAAAACAATATAATGAGTGCATATATATATATATATATATTAAAAGTAATCTTCTACAGCATGTAAAATTATATTGTGAAAAGTGTAATGATTTTTGACATTTAAGAAAATGCCGTAAAAGATTATATACGACATACACAGTATACCATAAATATATTAAAAATAACCTTCTACGGCATGCAAAATTATGCCATGAAAAGTATAACGATTTATGACATGAAAAAAATGTTGTAAAAAATTATATACGACATACAAAATATGCCATTAATATTTAATTTATTACTTTTTACAACTTTACCTGCATGCCATAAATGACGATTAACTTTTCACGGCATGTCACATAACGACATTTGTCTGCAAGACGTGAAAGAATTTTTATGACATGCATTGCAAGCTGTAAAAATTCAATTTTGTTGCAGTGAGCTTTAGTATGATTTTTACCTTAGTTATTTGTCTTTTTCAAGAATCTTGTGATTTGGGGATTTTCAGTAAAACTTAGGATTTGATTTTGAAATTAAAAGAGGGGTTTTCAAATGGGTTATTGGAAATGGTTGTAGGAATGTGTTTATAGTTGAGCTATGTTATAGTGGTGGATTTTATCACTCAAAAATCGATTATGAAAAGAAAAAGGGTTTTTTGTTCAAAAATCATAGATGTTTGGTTTTGTAAAAGGAAATGGAAATGACGTTGGGTTTTATAAGAATAGAATAATGATTGTGTTGAAGATGATGGTGGAGTTGGATATGTATTATCACTCCCATCTCGGAATTGATGAAATTATATCTTTTATTAGAATATTATCTATTTTGAATAAGAGATATTTGTTTTGGGTTATTAGTGGAGGATAGTTTTGATTGTTGTAGAAATTGCATGAGGATTAGGCAAATTGAAACTAATTTCTCATACATGTTGCATTGAGCATTGTTGCATTAACATTGAAAATAGATTTATTTTGAGAAAAATTGGTGAATACCTTGGTGAATTTGGGTAGGGGGTGCAGTTATGGTTATTATGTTGGCCTTTGTGTCCTTGGTGAAACTCCAGAAACTCGCACAGTTAGGTACTGATCCTTCCAGTTAGTACTGGTAAAATAACTTTGGTAGTGCTTGTGTAGCCTATTGGCAGACACGTATCATTAGATTTCTAGTGTTTTGTATCCACTGCCCTGTTTTTTGATATAAAATGATTATTTTTCATGAATTGACATATAATCTAGCATTGCATGATTTTGAGATGAAAATGTAAAATGTTTTGGAAATGGCATTGCATATGCATTCACCTATTGACTTCGTTATGACTCATTCACTTTATTAGAGAATCTCTACTAGGCTTTGGCAAATCCTACGTAGAAATCAACTTTCAGGTACTAATGATATTCCTCCTCCAAGATCATAGCTTGGGAGGACTTGGAGCCGAGAGCTTCCTGTTGTTATTCGTTATAATTATTTTGTACAAATCTTGGGCTTAAACTGTATTGAGTTAAACTCACTCTTATTGTACCCAAGCATTGTCTTGGAAAGATATAGCCATTAAGGTATTAAATTATCTGTTTAACTTCCATTTCATTCGCATGTGGCATATGCTATAGATTCAAGGTTAGGACTTATGAATGTATGTTTGCATGTCGCCTTTTATACAATTGACTTATATTAATAAAAGGTCATCATTCAGGATGTATTATTATTTATTAAATATCGTGGGTTGGTTTATTGTAATATTTTCAAGGCGTTACAGTAAACCTAGGGCTTCAAGAGATTAGGTATTGCTGTAATTTTGTCCCTACTACCAGAGAGAGGGCAAAGTTCTATTTCAAGACCAGATCGTCTAAGCGCCAATTAGTTCAAATTCTTCCCGACTCTAGCAAAGGCATCAATGATATAGTTGTAATAGTGGAGGGTAACTACAAGTTTTCTTCTAGCGTTGATAGAGTCTGCCGTATCCCTAAGGTCCTCAGCCAGCCACATTGATGTTTTCCTTTTATTGCATATAAGTTTACTTCTTATGAGATTTGTACTGATATCTCCTTCATTCTCGTTAATTGTTAGGGTCATGAACTCCTCTTCGTACGTGCGTAACTGCTAGCAACTGCTACTTGTTAACTTTTTCTTCACATGCCTCTCACATGTTGCTCATTATCAAAACTCATTATCAATACAAAAAAAAAAAAAAAAAAAAAACAAGAAAATTAAAATTTTAGAGATTAAAATTTAGGGATAAAATTATTTTTTAGGAATTAAATAATTTTGTTACAAAAAAAGTCGCTATTATATTTTTAGCAACAAAAAATTAGATATTAGTAATGAATTTTTATCCTTTTAGGACCGAATTTTTTGTCTAAAAAATAAATTATTTTGACATCAAATTATTTTGTTACTAAAAGTTTATTTATTAGTGACATTTTCAAAATTTTGTCGCTAAAAGCCTTGTTTTTGATTTTTCAAGACGGCCTTTTAGTGACTATCCTCATGATGTTGGAAATTCGTCTCTCAATGTCTTTTGTAACAAAATTTCCACTTATAGAGATCAAAGCATTTGGTTTCTAAAACTCTTATATGTTGTAGTGAATGTTTATTAGTCCAAATTGAAGAGTCTTCATAGTGGTAACCAATTGCCAATTCTCAGCAAGAGAAATTCTAATTTTGTATGTGTGTGTATTTTATTTTTATTTTTATTTTTAATTTTATAAAAAGGTATAAGAGTTAATATATTGTATATCTGACAATGAATTGTCTAATAAAATATATCGGAATACAAAATAGATCTCAAAATGAATAAAGAAAACGTCCATACAAATACTATATGAATCTCCACATAGGGAGAAAAACAAACCTCCACGTAGGGAGGAGAAAACCTCCATGCAAGAGTAATTCTAATTAACCCCCCCTTCCCCAGCGCCCTCGTGTGATTGATTGTTTGAATTTTTTATGTCAATGTACCCAATTTCATTTATTCTATTTATGTAATTATTTAGTAAATCATACTTACATATTGCTACAAACCAATGAGATGGCGAAAAATTTACAAATAAAAGATATTGTCTCATATTTATTAAGTAGTTGAAAAATAAAGGACACAATTACTATGCACTGTATTTTCTCATTTACTAAAATTATTACATAAATAAAAACTACACGATAGTGATACTCGCAGTATCTAATAATTTTTACTTAGGGCTAGGCTTCCTTTCAGTCTGTGATAGGACCGGAGGATACTGTCGAGCCTGTGAGGGCCAACCACGGGTCCCGTTTCGATAATCGGAACCATTCAATGTATAGAACTCGTCAAGTACCATATGCCTGTAAAAAATCACGTTGATCGGATATCGATAACTATCTTATTGGATTAGATTTCTATCAACCATTTATTTATTCATTGTCTACTTTTTTTTATTAAACAAAACGGATTTGATCACGTAATTATCGATATCCGATTAACGTGATTTTTTATATGCACATAGTACTCGATGAGTTCTACACATTAAATGGTTTAAATTATCAAAATGACACCCATGATGGATCCCCACGAATCTAACAGTACTCTCTAGTCCAATCACGGACTAGAAGAAAGCCAACCCTTTTTACTTATATTATGTTGGTTTAGTTTATTAGCTCTTCCAATTTTCAAGGAATGAGTTGGTTACAAAGTCAACACCACCATAGCGTTTTACCACACACTTTGTAAATCAAAGCATAACGCAGCGGATGAAAAGTTTTCATAGTCATACCTTTTTCAGCAGAGTCTGAATTGAAGGATCTCGTGGGTAAATCACGTGCTTCCAGAATGTGAACAACCAACCCAACAGTGGAGTGATACTACAAAATGAGTATCACCCACACAAGTCACAGTGCAAAATGGCTTGATCGTTATTTTTTGGGAGAAAGTCAGTATATGGGAAAAATATAAAATATACGTTGTTTTTTTTGATTACCCATATCCCATATCATATCAGATATATAGGATAATATCTCATCTGTCCATATCAATTGATATGATAGATATAGATATCCTGAGTGGTTATCCAAATAAATTTTGAATTCAAATTCAAACTTAAATGGATAAGGTTCAAAAGATTCAAAGGGTCATGCCACATGAGCGCCCAATTTCTAACATCTCCCACTCGCACATGAGTTGGCATGACACTGCCACATCTCTATCTCAATCTCCCCAAAAATGAACAATCTCATACTAGCCAATGCACCGTGCGACCGCTGAGAACACCTGCATGTGGGAGCTCTATTCTAGAAACTCAATATGAGTTAGCATAGAGACATCAACCCAAAAAGAACAGAAATAGTGTCTTATGTACCCAGACCCATCTAGCTACATCAGTCCAAAAACATCTCTAATCCCTCAAAGAGCATGTTTGACTCTCCTAGGTCCCGCATTATATTCACACCCAATCAGTATCCCATAGAGAGCGATGTGAGTTGTCGACAGTGACTATAAAGCAGAGATGTAGAACTAGATGACCTTCCCTTCACCCTCATATCATTCAATTTGAAATTGACCACTTTCCTAGTAATGCCCCTTAAAGCCGAATCATACATGACCGCAGGCAACATACCAAAGTAGCTGAACATCAACTCCTCATCTTATGACATAGTCAAAGGTCACAAAAGGCACAAAGTGAAGTCATTTAGGGAAAAAATGACTTTTAGGACTCACATAGTGAAGAAGTAGGGATCCATTCTTTCACCTTGCTAACGGATCGATAAGCACATGCAGTATGAATGCATGTTATAGGGGAGTAACTCTTCCAAAGAGTGATGTTAAACTCACACACCATACAGATCTTAGTCTAGTCGCTCTTAAGCGCACAAGTCGCTTCCTAGTGTCTAACTCGAATTCTCTATTTGCTCGCCTCTCAGGCATCAAATGAGATCTCGCATCCACAGGCACATCATGGAAAAGTGGGTACTCTCGTATC